GTGTGCGTACGTACAAGCACTAACACAGCGGCACATATTGGCTTGACTCATTGGCTGCCTGACACCGCCAACTGGCAATTATAATAAATTTGCTGTTATTTTTCACTGAAAATTAAAATTCGATTTTTCCCCCCGCAACAACGGTACTTAAAAACGTATGCTTGTGTGTGTTTGTGTGCATATTATTTATTATTCAAACACTCGTCTCTTGATTTGTGGGGAATAACGAAAATTTTTGAGATTTCCTTATTTTATTTTTAATTTTTTTTTCTTTTTTTCATATATATATATATATGTGTGTGGGATGTCTTCTAAGAGAATTTGGAATTAATTCAAAGCCCATTTTATTGAAGAAATTGAAAGTAAAATTAAGAAATTCATATGGTTCTCCAACTGAAAATATTAAAAAAAAAATCCCAAGATTCTCCCTTGCTTGCATGGGCTTTTCTGGGAATCTCAGTTTATTTATTAAAATCAACTGTTCTTTATAGAGTAATTGACACCATTATTCAGATTCTTTTTTGAGTACATAAATGGAAAGTTAAGAGAATCATGCCGTGTTCCTTCACTTGATTTCATTTTAAAAGATATTTATTTATTCCTTTTCCCTCTTTAATTTCGATAAATAAAGTGCATGCATAATTTACTTACATTTTTTTTTTATTAAAAAAAAAAAAATAAAAATTAAGAATAATCGGCTAATTTTTTTAAGCACCCTCAGAGCTTTCTAGGCTTACAAAAGTTGGTAATCGTAAAAGATGATGTCAAAAATATTTCTCTAATCCCACCTTTGTCGGACTCAAAAAACAGACAAAACTTCGGTTTATGTGTTTAAGTTTCGCCTGAGGATACGAAGACGGAGAGTACTTGTCATGGCTTTAGAAATATATAATCGTATATGTCTATCCGTGCGAGCTCCTCTGAGCTCAGTGCCGAATCGGTGAATTACAAACATCATATTTTTTCATCGAGGTGAACCAGTGAGGTGAAAATATAATCTACAATTGTTTAAATAGATTTTCATTTTAATCGATTAATTTATATTAAATATTTATCGATTTTAATCGACTATTTGATATTATTACATTTATCGATTTTAATTGATTACTTTATATTATTACATTAATCGATTTTATTCGATTATTTTACTGTTATAAATCTCCGAAAAATTTTCTTTTATTGAAACACTGCAAGTATCAGCGACACTATGTAAAAGTATGACATAATTCTCAAAGTGTTAAGAGTTACACCAGAAAATGTATGTCCAAAAAATGCTAGCTTCGATATTTTTATGCTAATGTAGATTTGAAATTATCGACATTTCATTCCGTTTTGCAAATAACTTTTGCCTTTATGCTACGTGTATATCAACCAGCATCTCATATTTATCCCTAACAATATTTATTTTTAGCCAATGGTGTATTCGATCATTTGTATCTACATTTTTCCCCTTTTGGACTCGATAATTAGTAAATCGATTATTTATATTTATCGATTTTTTCCAATCGATTCCTTATAGTTATATTCCCTTACTCTTACATTTATCGATAATTGATATTTCGGTTACTTATCGAGTTTTTGTAATTGATCTTTTTTGTATGTATATAAATTTTTTAATCGATAGGTTATAAATATCTCTTGTCATCAACATTTTCTACATATATCGCATTTTTTGATTGATAATTTTTAAATATGTAGAATTGTTTAATCGATGATTTGTATATTTATAATTTTTCGCAGACGATTCTGTATTTAACGTTTATTTTTTGTAGCCGATATTTTATATTTATTTATTGTATGTAATCAATATTTCATATTTATCTTTTTTTTATTAGATATTCGGTATATTTATCTTAATTTTTTTGGAATGGATATATATATTTTTGATAATCCATAGTTTTCATTTCTCGTTATTGATAATCGATATTTTCCATGTATCGATTTTTTGTAATCGATATTTTATATTTATCTCTGTTTTGTAATAAATGCTCGTTATATTTATCTCTCTTTTGTAATCGGTATTTTATATTTACCTATTTTTGGCAATCGATATTTTATATTTATCTTTTATATGTGCAATCGGTATTTTATATTTATTTTCTTTGTAATCGATATTATATATCCATTTACTTTTTTTGTAATCAATACTTTAAAATTATTTATTTTTGTGATCGATATTTTATATTTATCTATTATTTTGTGATCGATTTTTTAGATTTTTCTATTTTTTGTAATCTATGTTTTATATTTATCCTTTTAAAAATGTATATTTTAAATTTATCTGTTTTTTGTAATCGATATTTTATATTTATCTATTCTTGGTAATCGATATTTTATATTTATCTATTTTTGGTAATCGATATTTTATATTTATCGATTTTTGAAAATCGATATTTTAAATTATATATTTTTGGTAATCGATGTTCTGTATCTATCTATTTTTGGTAATCGATATTTCATATTTATCGATATCTTTTAATGCACCACTTTTATATTTATCCATTTCTTATAATGGCTAATGCTTAAACTTATCGATTTTTATAAATTTTATTTATAAGTTTTTCGATTGGTAATAATCGATAATCTCTAATTATATCTCTTATTTTAATATTTAATTTTTATATGTATCGAATTTTCTAATCCATGATTTTTATGTTTATCGAATTTTTTAATAGATACCATTAATGACAGATTGAATTCGAGTAAAAAAAAATTGTTTTTCCAGTACTAGCGACTATGATAGTGGCATGGATTCGCAAGAAATTCAAAAATATGCACCAAATCTTAAACCACTATATTCTCCTCATCAGCATGTAACTTCACTAACACCATTATTATGGTAGAAAGCCAATTAAAATATATTATTCAGTTGACTCTCAATTGCACAGCCATGAAGAACCAGCACGTTTTCTGCATTTCTGCTTAAGAACATGCAAGCATAAAGGATATTAAGCGACCATTGTGCGCGCTTTTGTATAAACAAGTAGAACTTGTGCGAGTCTATGCAACTATAATTGGCTTATGTCGTCGCTATGAGTGCTTTGAATATTTGCATACTCAGCGCTCAGTTGTGACACAATGCTTGTAAGCGTTTTGCCTTGTTGCTGATTAATTCTATAGTAACCATTCATTGATAAACTATGTATTTATGTAATGAGGATTGTACGCAAATAACTGCATATATTCATACATATATATATTGTATATATATATATATCTATGCAAGTATTACTATGTTACGGTAAGAAGTTTGTTCTATAACTAAAGAAATGGATGGATAGATGCATCAAATATATAATTATATATATATGCATTTAGCCAAGTAATGTCTTAAGTGAAAGATGGGCTAAAAAACAGTGAAGTAAATTAATGTAAAATTTTTTAAAATTCTTTTTACCTTATGTAGTTTTGTGGATTTTTAATTTATTTTTTACAATTTTTAGACAATTTTTATTCGGCAAAAATTTTTAGAAATTTTTTCATAAAATTTTTAGCACTTTTTTGCTTAATAAAATTTTAGTAGCTATTTTATACAAAATTTTTCGGATATTTTTAAAGAAACTTTTGTTTTTTCTGTGGTAAATATAGCATAATTATTTTTAGCTTTTCTGGTTATTCTCAGTTAAGAACATTTATTTCCCAAGGCAAGCAGATTCTAAAAACAGTTGAAAAATGTTTATAATAGAGAGATGAATGAAATAAAAATTAATGAGTTATCTAGCGGAATTTCATGAAAAATTCTGTAAAAATGTCTAAGTCACTAGCTAACCCATAAAATTTTCCTTTTGACCCTTACTTCCAGCAAACGCTCAAAATCACACTTGTAAGACCGTTAGAGGATTGAAATGTTTTAGGGAAATGCTCTTTAGAAATTTCTACCAGGAGTCTTCTAAGACAAAATCTCCATGCGAGTTACTTTAAGCTCTCTAGTATACAGAAATAAAAACTTCCCCTAGAAGTATGCAGCATTTTTTTTGGCAGAACACAAAAGCGCAGCGAGATTCAGAGTTTATTGCAAAAAAAATTTATATAACGCTGCAGGTAGATAAGCGTAGTGAATCAGCGCAGCATCATCAATTCAGCTAATTTTGGAACTAACAACTGCTCATAGATATATTCAAGATTTTTATTTGTATACAAATTTGAAAATTTATAACAAAAAAAAATTGATCAAAATTCGCATGTCGTTAAATATTGTGAAACGGACCTCAAAATGGCGCATAAAGTTAAGGAGATAAGAGCTTTTGGAAAAAATTTTCAGTTAAATCGGTTTACAAAGTTCTTAAAAAAATTTGCGGTCTCCTTGACGAATTTAATGACTTTAGTTTCTAGAAATTTTCAAAATTCTATTAATAAAATTTAAAAAAAAATTTGAGTTTATATTTATAAAATATTTAAATTTTTAAACTTTTTGCAATTATGACATAATTATATAGTTTTGTATAAAATTTCAATTTCTTAAATCGATGCGAGTATTTTGAAAAAAAAACACAAGCAAAAACTAATATTTTTTGTACAAAAACCAATTGACATACCCGAATGCATACATTTAAAACTAAATAATTGCTTTTAAAAAAATCTGACAGTTCAGATTTAATGCATTTGCAATTTGAATAACCTATCAATATATATATAACTAGAATTAAATATAAATGTATTTTTCTGAAACTTTCATTGAGCATTGAATTGTACAATTTGCCGCTGGCTTCAACTACATGACCTCTGGAGATTTTGACTGTATTGAAAAATGCTAACAAAAATTAATTAAAAATTTATAGAAAGCATCATTCACACTGGTTTGACAAATTTTGCTATAAATAAAATTTATATCAAAATATAATATTTAGTAGCACATACGATTATATATACACAAATTTATTAAGAAATTTTACAAATTTATTTAGCTCGGTATATAAATATTCACATATCTACATATTTATATTTATTGTGCATATTTATTTATTTATCAATATCAATTCAATTTCTTTAGCATCACTCACCTTTCGATGGTATTTCAGGCCACGCAACAACACTTTGCAGCAAAAATATGGAGCTGATAATATATGGTAGTGTGGAAATTTTTCTTAGCAGCATTTTAGGCGTTTTGTTGGTTTTTTTGCTTTACTTCGACTGATGATGCATATAAGTAAGTACTTTCTGTTTATATATATATTACATATATGTTTTTTTTTTCAGAATAAGTTATTTATTTTTTAATTATTTTTTACTTGAAAACTACATTTTCGTAGTTGTTTTATGCACTTTCTTTGTAGTAGATTTGAAATAATTACTTTTACTGCTGTTGTTTTTCTGTAATATAAAACAAAAGTTCAAATTCAAATTATATATTTAATATTTTATTGAAAGATATGAATTAATGACGGAAGTATGTAGTACTTTTACATAAAATATTTTATATAAATCGGACATAGAACGTGCGAAGAGTTATAATGTGAAACTAATTGAGAGCTTCAGAGGGGTACTCCTCAGGGTGGCGTGCTATCGCTTCTACCCTGAAACTTAACAATTTATTCATTGTTAGAACTAGAAGGGAAAGAGAGTTCTTGTTTCGGCTTATGCTCTCATGAAAACCTAATTTCGAAGATTGACTTTTACTGTTAGCAACTGGGGGCAAAGTTGGTACTCAGACTGACGGGCGCTTGCTTAGTAAAGAGCATTCTAGCATAGGTCGCTCCATTCTTTCCACCAATATTACGGATTTTCGCAATCCACCGGATATATATTTTAATTCATTTTTCATTGTTGCGTTCGCGTCGGTTTACTTGTACATCAGGAGTTGTTCATATTAAGCTATCTAACTTAATTAGCTTTATTTAATGCAGAGAATGGATCAGAGAGTACAGGGTAATGTAAGTGATCTTCAGCTCCATTGGTAACATAATGTGCAAAAGTGCGCTGCAGGACTCTACCTGCCTACCTAAGAATTTACGAATACTCGGTAAACGTGAAGCGTTAAAAATGTTCTTATATTCACAGTATCACATCAGAAGTGGCTATAGAACGTAGATGCAATCTGAAAAAAATCCTTGACTACATTCATGGCTGTTATCAGCTGGGTAACTGGACATAGTGACACCTCAGGCAATTGCATGCCAGAATTAGATCACTGCCAAGTATGTGCTAAAGGTTACCGCTGCCAGTGGAAAGAATCTGTTAAAGAAGATCTAGATGACTAAATGTGATCACGTGCAACTTTACCAAACATCTGCGCGATAAAAGTTTATTTGGGAACACGTCAAAGACTGCCTCGCTGAAGTGGCTTCAGCGAAAATTTGGCCATCACGTTGCTTTAATAAGGCATAGGAAATGGTTTGAACATTTGGGTAGGTGACAACAGAAGTCTCATACAGTTATCAAAATGGGCCTATTGGCTGAAGTGCGTTGGCCACTGATCAACAGCTGCAGCAAGTCAACTCAACTCAAATTTAATTCAATTTCAATTTTTTCATATGAAATTCGTTACAATTTCACGTGAAGTTGGGCGTGATTGCCTTAAGAACGAAAATCTGCCAGAAAATTTTTTTTATGAATATTGAATAATGTACGAGTATATGGTAGTACAACAAATATAAAAAATAATACTAATAATATTTTTTCTGCTCTAAGATCTCAAATTTTGTATGGAAATTAAACTTAGAGGGAAGAGGATATGGATCATCTAGTACAAACAGAGGAATAGCAACATCTAAGGCTTTTGTAAGGCTCTTACTAAATTAGCCGCGTAGAAAAAAATAAAAATTTCCAGAACAGCCGGGATATATTTTAATTTTTTAAATATTTTTTTAAATTTAATTTTATATTTAATTTCATATTATTAAATTTATTTTATATCAACTTTAATATTCTTGTACATTTTATTTATTCTTATTTTTAATTTTTATTACTTTTTTAATCTTTCTTTTTATATATTTATATTTTTTTTATATTTTACTTATTATTATCTTTCTATATATTTATACATTTCTTATTTTTATATTATTTATTTAGAATTATAGATTATTTTAATTTTTTTATATTTTAATATTTTTTATTTTTTTACATTTTTTATTTATATATATTTTATTTTATCTTATTTTTTATTGTTATATTTGTTTATTATTATTATTCATATCTATATTTTTATTATTTTATTTACTATTATTTCTTATTTTAATATATTTTTTCTTGGTATTATTTTTTATTTTAAAATTTTTTTATTTTTATTTTTTTTATTTTTTATTTTTATAACTTTTTTATGCTATCTTTTAATTTCTGAATTTTTATTTATTAATATTTTCTTATTTTTATGTATATTTTTTATAGTTTATTTATTTTTATTTTTTATTTGTTTATAGTTTATTTATTTTTTTATATTTTGCCAATTTTTTTATTCATATTAAATTTATATTTTTTTATTATTACTTTTTTTATATTTTATTTAATATTATTTTTTAATTTTATATATTTATATATTTTTTTATATTTAAATTTTTATAATTTTTATTTAGTTTTAAATGTTATTTATATTTTTATTATAATTTTTTTATATTTTATTTATTATTATTTTTTAGTTCTATATTTTTTTAAATATATCATTTTTTATTACGTTTTATTTTTATGTTTCTTTTATTTTTTAATATTTTTTTATTATTACTTTTGATTTCTATACATTTGTATATTTTTTATTATTATTTTCAAGTTTTTTATTTTTTGTTTATTATTTTTTTATTTTTATATTTTCTTTGTTGTTATTTTTTATTTTTTTATATATGTTGATATTTTTTTATATTTTTTTATTAATTTTTTTAATAAATTAATAATAAATAATTATTATTTTTTTATATTAATTTTATTACTTTTTTATATTATATGCATTATTACGTTTTGGTTTTATATTTTTTATATATAATTACTATTTTTTATTTTTTATATATTTTTATATTTTTTTATTCTTTATTTTTCATATTTATATTCGCATATACATATTTATTTAATAATGTATTTTTTATTATTTTTTCATTTTTATTTATTTTTATATTTTTTTATACTTAATTTTTTATTTTTATATATTTTTATATTTTATTTATTATTTTTTTTTCATCCATTTTTGCTCAATATTATAATCTCACAAATTTTAAACTTTTTAAACACATGTTTATGTGTATTAGTATGCATATGTATGTACATATTCATTATTCCACCCTTATGCTCTCTCTCTCTGGAGTACAACTTTAGCTCACGTCTTCGCTAACTTAGCTCCTTGTCAGTTTCTTGTTAAATTCAATCAATTTCGAATGCGAATCCCGACACTTTCATTTCCACACATCCTCACCACAACTCAGCTGCTTTTCCTACTTTTCCACAGAATGCGCACTAACACACACACACACAGCGGTTCAGAAAAAGAAAAGGAATGCTGTAGGTATGTACTTATATATAGTAGACAAGCACGAGACTAGCAGGAGCAAAAAAAAATCATAAAGTAAAGAAAAAAGTAGCAGCTTAGACTGTCGCATGTTTTGAATAGCTCAAGTCGTTTCTCTTGTAAATTGAGCATTTGCGTACGCCAATTTGATGTGAGGCGACAACGACGTTGACATAGACTAAAGCAGCAGCAGCAGCAGCAATAGCAACAACAACAGCATTGGTAAAGGCAACAATTTGGATAGCAGACAGATAAACTCAAGCGGCATGATGCGAAGACGGTAAGGCGTTCAGGCACAAAGTAAAAGTAGCAGATTTGTGCCTTCTTTTTTGCTTCTTCTTCTTCTTCATGTTCTTCTTATTGTTGTTTGTGTTGATGCGTTAAGCACTTAAGTAGGATTTGTGCAAACTATTAGTGGTATTTTAGGGTATTTGGAAAATCTGTACAGTTGCCATTGACATCTCTTGATATGTTTATTTTGAAATTATTTCGAAAGATATGTTCATGTTGTTGGTGTAATAAAAATTTTTTTTTTCTGTGAGGAAAGCATAAATATTGCACATATATAGAGTCATAATTTAACAGGGTGGCTTCCTTAAAAAATTTACAGACATATTTTATTGACAAATAAATATTAAATGCGGAATGTGTTTTGAATACGTTGAAAGGAGAAAAATTAGCCTAAATAAGGAAAGAAATTTCTAGAATAAAATTCGAAATTTTTGGATTCCGCGTAGGAAAATATGTATCTTGAAATTTTATATTTTACAATATCGATATCATAAACCATAAAATTCATTTTTAATTCAATTAATTTTTAAAAGATAGCCTCTTTTCCTTAGAAAGATGGAAAGCAACCTGGAGAGTTCCACCTCGATTCTTTCAAAACTTCTAGCATTTTTTCTAAAAATATTTAAAAGCGAAAACAAAAGAACGGTTACTTCTGAGTAGCAATATTTTCAGTTCCCGGATCGATTTTGATTTTCCATTTTAATTGAAAGAAAAGTGCAGCTGATGACCATCAAAGGCTTGGGGATTTTCTAGTAAATCTGAGACGACCCCTAAGACATACAGTGTGTAGTTTCGATACTTCAGGAGTGGGGATCCACGATTCATAAGATCATGCTCTGCATGTGGTGAGACCAAAGCGTTGTGCTGTACTTTGAACTGCTCAAACCAAGCTAAATCACTGATGCAAAACGTTCTAGACTACAACTGATGCCTGGAAAATGACCAGAAACAACCGACAAACCCTACCCTGATTCTAAACGGATTACTTCTGCTGCGTATGCCACAAATTACTCCACTATTTCTCCAATGCGGTTAGATGTAACCAGTGTGATAGTCGGAGTCATCTTAAGTCATACGCAGGCCTTAAACCAAATAAATAATGGTCCACGCGTTAACTAATCAAATGTTGCCAACACTTAAATACGCCTCAAACCTTCACGACAGTTCCACCCTGACCGACTCACTCTGGATCACACCACCCACAAACCTCTACGGTCTTACTAAGTTCACCGAGTTAGGCAAAATAGTGGTTTCGTGTGCAAGCAATTCCTGCTGAGATACTACCGTACGGAGCAACCGAACAGACACTTACTAGACGCCAAACCACCAGCCAAGCGCATCAGAAAGGGAGTACTCGACCTTAAGCACTGCTTTCTGCACCACCTACAATAATCGCAGGGCAGAATAGATTACCAAAACACTTGCTGAACTCTGTTCCAGTTCCAGGTAAAGCGCTGGAGCTACCTCGAAAGTCCCGTGTAATACCACTTCCATATTTTAGATCTGGATATTTTAGTTGACTAAACTTCTGTCCATACAGACCTGATTCCGACATACCCAAAGTGTGTACTGCATGCAATGACGGGGAGGGGGG